ATATTTTTAGCTATTGCTATGAAACAAATAGTTTTTTATGAGGCGAAAACAGCGAAATTTAACGAAATTGAGACCTCTTATTTAAGACAATGAAAGATATTTAGAAAAAAGAAACAGCGCATTTTGGAGATGAAGATGTTTAGCTATTAACGCGCTGAATAGATTTCGCCTTTTTATTATCGATTGCCTTATAATGGTACACGAACAAAGTTCGAAATTGCGTTGGGTGCGAGAGAGCTCTATTTACCGTTTGATTTATCTAACATAGACCACATAGATGAACCAAAAAAAAATTTAGCCATTACTTATAATCTGGGTATTTATGTGTTATCAAAATATTTTACTCTGAAACAATAATTTGCTGTAAAAAAAGAAATCAAAGTGGCGCTAATGATTCGATGTGAGTCAACTTTAAAAGACTGTAGCCTTAATAAAAGAATTGTAATACTAATATAACCACATATAAGTATATAAGAATTTTTAAGAAAACCTATGAATATCGTAGCATAAATCGCAACCTTTTAGGTCAGAAATCGAGATCCAAACGGACAGCAAGACGGTAGACATGTGTCAATCATGAATGATTCGTTCGCACTTAATGATGGTTCATTAATCTGTTTTTGAATATTCCAGTACAACCAATCACAAACAATTGACGGAATCTTTTTAACTTGTGATTGTTGTGAATTGTGAATGAGTCGAAAACCAACCGAATTCCGAATGATATTAATGAATTGTTTTTAGTGTAGGGTATTGGAGCCCGAAATTATCCATTTGAATGATAGATCCGAATGTACCGATACTCGTGACGAAATTTACTAGTGATTCGGTCACGAGAAATAGTGATTGACACATGTCTACACGACGGCGCTCGCGCTTATGAGTCATGAGCGCGGTTGCCATTCGCTTGGACACGTTCGCGTCACGGTTTTATCGCTCCGCGCGCCGTGTACTCTGTGCGTGTACCGAAATGCCTATTAAGGGGAAATATAACCTCAAATGGCTTAGCAAGATCCTCCGTTATGCCGAAAGTATTGCAGCATTAATTTTGAAATAAATATATGGTAAAGTTGAGGATTAATGTTAAGGTTTATGTTAGACGAAAACACGATTCCGTAAAATTTTCTCGATAGAAAAAAAAATCCAAAGTTACCTCCAAACTGAACAATAAACCGCTGTTATTCATAAAATACTTTAAATAAGATCATGAAACTTTGCATACTAACTGAACTAACCATGAAGCAGTGCTTATGTTATTTACTTTTTTTAAAATATCACTATTTTCACTGTAAAAAGAAATTACCTAAACTATCGGCGCGTAAGCTTGGTTCCTGCGGAGCGACAGGAGGACAGGAGGACATATTTTAAAAAAAAGTACACAGTGTAAAATCATTACTTATAAATAATTAATTAATAGGCATTTTTACACTATTGAAGTGTGCTAAATATTGAAACAATAATTAACAAAAAATAAACAAATTCCAGTTAATAACGTAATACGAAAATCGACTATACTCTTAGTTCAGTTATAAGTACTAAAACGGAAATATTTGGATTAAAAAATATTAAGGGTGGTATTGAACTCGTTATATATTTAATACTGGCTGTCATAAATTTTGATTGCTGATTTCTGATTCTTACATACATACATTATTACAGTCAGAAGTATAATATAATAATTAATAAATTTAGTGTTCCTAATGGAATCAATTAAGTGAAAAATTATAATAAAATGATAAAAATATACCAGTTTCAGATTTATTCCTTTTTATTCACCTAATTACCTTTCTGCATACCAAATTTCAACTTTCTAGGTCATCTGAAACTGGGTTAGAGTTTTGATCAATAGGTCAGTCAGTGATAAAAATGACGATTTTTGGACGTTAATATCTAAATAACCGTTTGAGGTGTGTTTATGATATTTGAAGCGCATACGCAGTTATCTCGCAAGTCTCAATATATGAGCCAAATTTGACCCGTTTATGTGAAATAGTTTATGAGTTATGAGGGGGTCAAAAGTGGCTCCAAATGATTCGTGTAATATGACACACGGTGCGGCTCGCCGTTCTGCTTGAACTTGGCTTGACACGCTACCGCGTGTCTAGTGACATGAATGGCTACAATTATTTTGCTGTAATGATTCCTGTGTCTAAACAGCTATAGCACTGGATAAATCTTTCATAGTAGGAAGATTTTCATGGAATCATGATTAGCATATTAAAGAATTAGATTATACATTAATATACATTAGGTTATACATTATTTTTATTAATTTTTTTTATAAAATTGAATGGACAGACGAACTCACAGCCTCACAACATCTAAATGTAAGTGGCTGCTAGCATGGACACCTGCAGTCAATTCAAAAAAGAATGTCACCTCTGAGAACAAAGACAGAATGACGGAAAGCCTGTTATAAAATTGGCTTCCTAAAGCCCATTTATTAAAAGCAAAAACAGAGGAAAATATATGACAATATTAAAAACGTAAGGAAGTCCTAGTTAAAATATTTGAACCTTCACTTGTAATTGTCATTGGTCTCAAACAACTACGTAAATAATCTCACAACATACATATGAACAAGAAACAAAGCAACAATAACAACAACAACAAAACCTCATAAAAGTAGTTGATCCGAATATTACCGGGTTCCTTCAGACATGTGGTTTCAAACTTTGGGGATTCGTACTAAGTTATTGGTTGTGATTTGTTGTATGTATTAGTTGCAGCACTGTTGGAACACGATTCAAGGTTACGCACAAAGGTGTTTATTGGAAAACCGTGTACTAATATTTAGCCGTGTAGTGGCGGTTGAGAATATCTACTACCCCATATCTTCCCGTGGGTGTCGTAAGAGGCGACGGAGGGAGACAGGCAGGAGGTGGGCAGCAGCATCTTCCTGATAACAACAATAATATAATAAAAAACTGCGGTTGCCAACCCGCTTGCCAAGCATGGCAACTATGGCAAACATCCTCCCATGAGCAACAACACAAACAAACGGCCCCCAGCACCCGGTGGCCCCGCTATTCCTGGCAATGGTGGCGACCATGGTAAGGGCTGGGCAGGGGGTGCTAAGAATCTCCGTTTGCCACCTACGACGACTTGACCTGGCAACATATAACGCACGCACCCTGAGGACTGACGAGAAGATACTGGAGCTGGAAGAAGAGGTAGACAAGCTCCGCTAGCATATTATAGGATTATCAGGGGTCCGAAGAGAGGGGGAAGACATGGTAATCGTCGAGTCCGGCAACTTGTTCTATCACCGGGAGGGCGACCATCTGTCCCAAGGAGGTGTCGGATTTATCGTCCACAAGTCTCTCGCCAACGACGTAGTAAAGATTGAAAGTGTGTCGACGAGGGGTGCGTATCTGATACTCAGAATCACCAAACAGTATTCGTTGAAGGTAATATAGGTTTACGCACCAAACTCGGCACATCCCAATGAGTAGATGGAGGAAATGTATGAGGATATCTCTAGAGTCATGCATTCCTCCAAAACCTACTATATGGTGTTGATGGGAAACTTCAACACAAAAGTAGGCACAAGAGAAAGTGGTGAGAGAAATTTGGAATAGGGCAACGGAATGCTAGGGATCAGCAGTTCGCCGAATTTATGGAGAAAGAGGAACTCTTTATGATGAGCTCTTTCTTCCAGAAGCGGCCTCACAGGAGTTGGACCTGGTCGAGCCCCGACGATTCGACAAAAATGAGATTGACTTTATTATGACGAACAGACACCAACTGTTCAGTGATATCTCAGTGATCGCGAGGGTAAAAACTGGCAGCGATCACCAAATGGTTAGAGGCACACTATACTTCAACGTTAAGTTGGAGAGTTCTCGTCTAATGAATTCAACGCTCCGTCCCCCTTGTGCACTAATTCAGGGTCTTGAAAACTTTCAGCTCGAATTATAAGACCGTTTTCAGTGCCTAGAAGACTACAATACAGTGGACGGCATGAATGACAAGCTCGTGGAAACTGTCCACGCGGTCGGAGCTAAGTTCTGCAAGACCCGCCGCAGAAGAACAGAAAAGCTCTCTGATCACACTCTTAATCACATGGATGTTAGTCGGGAGATGAAGCTGCAGTCGTCAGCAGATTTGACAGCATACAGGCAACTGAACGGATAGATCTCCAAATGCATGTGGCAGGACTTACGCAACTTCAATACAGCTCGTATGAAGTAGCGATTGAGCGGACCCAGGGCTTTAAAGTCTTTGCCAGAGATCTGTCTGCCAGAAAGAGCCAACTGTCAAAGCTGAAGATTGAGTGTGGCAGCATCGTTTCCGGGACGCCTGAGATTTTGAGTGAGATGGGGGGGGGGGCATTTATGTTGCATCCTTTGGGATCTCCTGAGATTTTGAGTGAGATGGGGGGGGGCATTTATGTTGCATCCTTTGGGATCTCCTGTCAAGTCGCTGATTGAAGCACACACGCTCCGCAAATTTTATTTATGTAAAGTGCAAATCCTGTGATTCTGTGCTCTACAATAAACTTATTCTGCAGTGAAAGTGCCTAAGTCTCCACATTAGTGTTTTCAATATCGAAACTAACTGTGAACCGTGTAAAATCAGTATCTAAAACTAAAAATTCTTTTCGGCGAATAATTGAATATTTTCTACCCACGAATACAAAAGTTATATTTACGTCATATTAAAATCTGTTGACACTGTGTATATAATTGACATTGCTGTCACTGTCAACTCGTCAAGTCACTTCATTCATAAATGTTTCCATAATATAAAAGTGTATATTCTACCAATAAAAATAAAATAATTCTACCAAACTACTTCTTCGGAGTTCTCGTAAGTTTCATATATTTGTAATCAACAGCGTACAAATGAACTCGACAGCCGGCAGCCGACAGAACTAATAACCTACAGTAATTAAGATCGCCTCCACTGGAGTCTTCTGTCTCGCACTCGTTGTTAGCATAGTAGAAATAGCTATTCTGCAAACAAGTATTAAAATCGCTGAAAAATATAAAAAAAAAATGTCACTCGTGCAACGCACTCCGCCACCTGTGTCCGAGAGTGGATTACTACAAGTACAATCCGAGCCCGATATGGTGACTGCCATGCGTTACGAGGATGAAATTGAAACCTCCAACGTTTCTACACGCAAAAAGCGCCCACGTCTTGATGGATCACCGTTAGACGAATATTCTAGGCTGAAAAAAGATATTCAACAGATGTTTAAGAACTGGGCAGCTGAACAAGACTTAAAATTTTCGAAATTGATAACCGAAATTTCCGATTTGAAACAGCAAAATAGAGTTATACAAGAGACTAATTTGGAGATACGCAAATTTATGACATTTGCCTCCACAGAATATGATGATATGAGAAAAAAGATAGCAAAATTAGAAAAAGAACGTTCCGAGTACACTGAAAATTTAATGAAAATGGAAAGAAAAATACTCGATCTACAGGTTAAGTCCCGCACGGCATCAATAGAATTTAGAAATATCCCTATGCAAGAAAGGGAGACGACCGATGACCTGCTTTCCATAGTAAGCAGCGTATGTAATGCTCTGCATATTCCCATCAAACACGATGAAGTGCGGGATGTTTACCGTCTACCGGGTAAACCTGAAACGAATAAAACTATCGTGGCCGAATTTGTAACGGTGCGCGGCAAAAATAATATTTTGTCAGCGGCTAGAAATTTCAATAAAAAGAAACCGACCGAAGAAAAACTTAACTCCGAATCCATTGGGTTATCTGGTAAGCGCATACCAATATATATTTCAGAATATTTACCACCAAGCTCCAAAGCCCTATTTCGAAAAGCTAGAATGTACGCCAAAGACAATAAATACCAATATTGCTGGACGACTAATGGCCAAGTTTTTATCCGAAAATTGACTGGTGAAAGGTCTATTAGAATTGATTCTGATAACTTTTTTCTCTCTAAGCCAACTGAAATGGAGAATGCAGAACCCAATCGAGAAATGTCATTCCAGAGCGATTTGGAGAAATTTAGTCAGCAGAATAAGATTACGTATATATAAATTTAGAATATGCCTTCCAAAACATGTTCTGTCACTCATTTTTTACAGTAAATTTAATCGTATGTATAGAAAATTTTGTAAGTTAATTTTAAGAACAATTTTTAAAACAATTTATGATACTGTGGATACACTTCATCACTATACTCACACTGACCTGGACATCTTCACTTTACTCACCCCAAATATCATCGTGGAAAAACTATTCAAACACATAAACTCAATTATAACCTCACTCATACTCATAAAAATCACATCAATAGCTTGTTTACTTGCATTCCATAATAATATAAACCAAGTACGTATAACAATAATAAGTGCCAATATATCAACCTGTTCGCGGTAATTGATGCAAATGAAAATATCTCAACAGAGTTAGACAACATAGATGAAGCATTAGTTTATGAGTGCGACACTGAAACATGTAACTCACTAATTAAAAATAAGTCTAATTCCCTGAAAATATTCTGTCAAAATATTCGCAGCGTATACAAAAACTCAGATAGTTTACTGGTCCAACTGTCTCGTTTTAAGTTTGAATGTGACATCATTATCTTAACTGAATGCTGGCTGAGTGCCCGTAAACAAATTCCTCAATTTAAAAATTACAACATGTACTATACGCACAAATGTCACAATCAAAACGACGGTATAGTGATATATGTTAAAACAGGTATTAAATGTACAATAAAAGAACCAGAGCCATTAGGTGCTAATTTTATATCTATTAAAATTATTGATCCCGACATTTTCATTTTAGCTTCTTACAGATCTTCGTCGACTCAATGTATTGACAGTTTTTTGAATTCCATAGAAAATATAATTCGTCCACTGGACTCAACTAAAAACATAATACTAACTGGTGATATTAATATTGACATTAAAGTTAATAACAATGATCGAAGAAGTGAAGCGTACTTAAACCTAACAGCGGAGCTAGGTTTGCTTCCGGGTCACATTTATCCTACTAGGTTACATAGCTGTCTAGATCATGTCATGCTCAAAACTAGTTTGGCAGCATCAGTATTTGTGATTAATAGTACTATAACAGACCATTCTTCAATCCTACTCAGCATTTGCCCTGGCCAGCAAATACCAAAAGAACCAAAGCTTTTTACTAGAATCAACTACGATTCTTGTTTAAAATATTTAGAGACAGTGGACTTTTCATTTATAAACACTTCATCTGATGCAAATAAAGCCGCATTAACTCTTGTAGAAAAGTTGGCTAGTGCAATTTCACTTCACTCCCATTCCCGTCGTGTCCCTAATAAACAAAGAACGCTAAAACCATGGCTAACTCTTGGTCTTTTACGTTGTATTCGACACAGAGACAAACTTCATCGTAAACTTAAAAAAAGTCCCGAAAATAAAATTCTTGAAATCACTTATAAGCGCTACCGAAATTATTGTAACTCTTTGTTGAGAAACCTTAAACGAAACTACGAAAAGTCACTATTACGTAATGCGAAAACTAATAAAGATACCTGGAATGCAATTAAAACTATAATAAATTACACGAAACAAAATACGAGTGCTGATAACCTTTTGAGTTCTAATGAAAATGCTGTTCGTGATGTAGAAAACATAAATAAATACTTCTCTAATATTGGTAAAAAACTAGCTGACGCTGCAAATATTTCAAATCAAAATAGCTCTCCATATAATTTCACAATCCCATCGGTTCCTAACTCTTTTGTGCTACTTCCACCAGATGAGGGAGAGGTAGAATCGATTATCAGAAGCTTAAAAAATAACTCTGCTACTGGATGGGACTCTATACCTGTGCAACTTCTCAAATTATCAGTACATCTAGTAGTTCCACCCTTGACTAAACTTATTGAGCTCTGTTATGCGCAAGGAATCTTTCCAAAAAGTTTTTAAAAAATCGCTGATCACTCCTGTTCATAAGGATGGATCCCGAGACGAAATTTCCAATTACAGGCCTATTTCAGTACTCTCGTCTATCTCTAAAATCTTGGAAAAATCATTAAATCATAGACTTATAAAATTTTTAGAACATAATAAAGTAATATCTTCTTCACAATTTGGATTTAGGTCGGGGAAGTCCACTGAAGACGCGGTAATTCAATTGACAGAATTTGTAACATCAAAGGTTGATGCAAAGCAAAAATGTTTGGGGATTTTCCTCGACCTGGCCAAGGCGTTTGATACGGTCTCGATTCCTATCCTTGTGAGCAAGTTAGAACGCGTTGGTATTCGTGGCAATGCACTCATGATTTTTAAGGACTTCCTATGTGACCGTAAACAACAGGTTAAAGTGGGTGAATATGTCAGCCCCGAGGAATCGATTGTATGTGGCGTTCCACAGGGAAGTATACTAGGACCTAGTCTCTTCCTTATCTATATAAATGATTTATGTCAGTAACCTTTAGTAAACGGCAAAATATTTACCTATGCTGATGATACAGCTTTAGTCTTCCATGGTAAGACGTGGGATGAGGCTCGACATAACGCTCAGCTGGGGCTTCACAGAGTTGGCCATTGGCTCGGCAGTAATCTCCTAACTTTAAATATTTCGAAAACTACATACATGCAGTTCTCCTTGGGAAACACTGGATCCGTAAACCTTGATCTTAAGGTCCACTCGTGTACTAACCCTTTCAATACTATCCCCTCATGTTCATGTCTTGCAATTACTAAATCCAATAGTGTCAAATATCTTGGTGTAGTACTGGACGACAAACTTAACTGGCGCTCACACATAGAGCTTACAACTGAACGTACTAGAAAACTTATTTGGGTGTTTAAAAAGTTAAGATACACTGCTGATTTACCTCTCTTGCGTTCAATTTACTATGCTTTAGTTCAGTCTGTAATAGGGTACTGTATAAACGTCTGGGGAGGAGCCTGTAAGACCTTTCTAATCTGCCTGGAAAGGGCACAAAGATCCCTCTTAAAAGTCATGGCATTTAGGCCATACAGATTTCCCACTAAAGAATTGTATGAGATATGTCGAGTATTAACTGTGAGGCAACTGTACATTTTCAAGTTAATTACTAAACAGCATATGATTACCATTTATAATGCCACTGATTATAACAAAAACCGGGTTATAAAAAATGTATGTTTACCAATAACATGTCGAACAGCCTCTGCTAGACGGCAACATGCATATAAAGCTATATATTTATACAACAAAATTAATAAGTTAACAAATATATATCCCTTAACTAGTAGAAAAGTGAAAATTAAAATTAAGAATTGGCTATTAGGATTAGATTATGAACAAACTGAATCGATATTAGTATAAAAAAAATTGTTTAAATCTTAAATTTCATCCACACACGAACACACACACACACACACACACACACACACACACACACACACACACACACACACACACGCACGTACACAAGCACACACCCACACACACGCACATGCACACACGCACATACAGATTTTAAAATTGCTTTATTTACATAAAATAAGTAGCTGTCATTATATTAGGGAGATCGCGGACTCTCGTAACACAGGTTTTCTAACCTAGCTCGGGAGTCAGAGGCTTAAATAATATTGTAACAAAAATTTTATGTCAATAAAGAATATTATTATTATTATTATTATAGATTGAGAGGTTCTATGGGCAGCTTACACATCATCGTTGCAGCCACACGCAAGTGTGAGCAACAATCGAAGAGCAAGTCTTATCCGACACTATTCCGATATTATCCCGAATATCAGTCTGAGCAAGATTAGAACTGCTCTCCAGCACCTTAAAAACGGCAAATCCCCGGACGAGGATGGAATTACAGCGGAGCTTCTGAGAGCAGGTGAAACACCGGTACTTGAAGTCCTTTAGAAGCTCTTTAATTCCGTCCTCCATGGAGGCACTACTCGCGAGGCGTGGAGCAGAAGTGCGGTCGTCTTGTTCTTCATGAAAAGTAACAACGCTCTCTTGAAGAACTACAGACCGATTTCTGAGCCGCGTCTACGTGCTGTTTTCGACAGTTATTACGAATCGTCTCGCACGCAGACTCGACGACTTCCAGCCTTCCGAACAAGCTGGTTTCCAAAAAGGCTTGAGCACCATAGACCACATACATACGCTTTTGAAAATTGTTCAGAAGTCCGAAGTCTACTATCGACTTCCTACGTGTCTTACCAGATTGTCACTCCTTCTAGTGGCTACCAAAAACTTCGCTAACTGGTAAAAGGCTTCTACTTCTACTAATTGAATAACCAATTTACTTATCAACGCTGATTAGTAATAAGGAAACTTTTACTTAAATTTAAGCTCAAGAAGCTCCAATGCATAAGATGAACTGAAAACGAATATTCAGGTCACTTTTTGAATCTTCAAGCTTTGACAGCAAGCAGAATAAGTATCTTATTTTTTCGTATTTTTACTTAAGATCAAAAGTCTACTATACAATTAACTATACAATTAAACACGCAAAACCCGTTGATTACTCCAAATTCAGAGATAAAAATGCAGAAATAAAAATATTGCACAGACCGACATAAAATTCTTTTTCAGAAAATAGCGAGTGTCCAACAGACTTTACGAGGAACCCAATAACTCACTTGCAAATCACGTGTGAGTGGGGCTCAGTCCGCACCCTCTGCATGCTACTTGATGAGTTTACAACTAACCTAGAATTTTTCGACACTTTAAATTAAACCAATTTTTTATTTAAAAAATTACTGCTTTTAAAGCGATTTATCATAGCTACGATTTTAATTTAATTTTAAAGTATTTAGGGCCTAACTAGGTTCGTCGTGAGCTCACTCATTCTCAAATTAGGCTATGCAGCAAAGATTTGGACGGCTCCACGACCCAGTGGGTAGGCATTGATTTGCAACGCTGAGGGCCGCATATTTTGTGTGGTTTCTGTGGCCAATAGACACCTACATCTATCCTCGATTACGAATCAAAATGCAGATGCGTTGTCACCCGTGAGGACTAAGATGGAATGTCTGGTTTCCAGTAAAAAAGGACCTCCGGTTCTCTACACTGACCATACGAAATACGGCAG